TGTACGACAGTATGTAGATATGCTGAGACACTCATTAAACAGGTATCGTAGAGACTAGACGTACGTGAGTCCAGTGTCTGTGTTGAGTCAACGTATACGAAAATACAACATAATATACTAATTTTCGGCATCCGTGATTTATTTCTTTAATTTTGTATACTTTAAAATCTTGTTCATGTAGGCCTAGGCTAGGCTAGGTTGGAGTGATTTTAATATCACCGAATAATGTGTTTGTGTGTGTGTGTTTTTTTTTTCAATTTTGTTTCAACGCTAGCCTTAGGCCTAGGCCTAGTTAGTAGGCTCTAGGCCTATGTAGGAGGCCGCGTGATCGAGGAAGAGGTCGTGACCTCAGATTGTTTGCACCAGAACGTTAAAAAAACATTCAAAAAACGTACGCAAATAAACTTACAAACAGGTGCATAAAATAGAACGAAATCACAACGTTTACAGAACGTTATATCACAACAAAATTTTCACCAACTTTCATCAAAAAATGTTATCGTTTTTATAAAACGTTTTAAAAACAATTTTAAAACGTCGCTGTGTAATATTGCTTTTTGTTTGCAGATTTGATGCACCATAACGATATAAAAACCTCAATAAATGTATAATTAGAACGAAATCACAACGTTCACAGAACGTTATATCAAAACCAAATTTTCACCAATTGTCAGATAAATTGTTATCGTTTTTATAAATCGTATTTAAAACGATTTTAAAACGTCGCCATATATATTGCGTATTATTAGCAGTTTTCTTTGTACAAAAAGTTATAAAAACGTTATAATAACGTAAGAAAAATACTTACAAACACGTTTATCACAATTAAATCACAGCGTTCACAATCTCGCAACCAAAAATGACCACCACTTTATTCCAGAAATTTAATTAAAATATTTTATAAAGACCAAACGTACCCAATGCTACACCCAAACAATTAACATAGGTACAATCAAATTTGAACCAATTTATTCAGGTTAAATTGTTTTCTTTAACTTTAACACATTAATCTATATGTATAAATCTACGTAGTCACCGTCATCATCCATGCATTTATAATGAGTCTTAAACCACGAATAAAATTTACTGATTCGTCAACAAGCGTCATGTGACAATTTATCTACGCGAACGCGCGCAACCGTTGACCGATTGCCACTTTGCGCCTGTTTTTCGTTGGATGATGTAGGGCCTAGGTAGGCTATGTGACGTCCGTTTTCTGAATTCAACTTCTGCTGATACTTTTTAGAAACCATAACTTTTAATCTGATCATATACAATTTTATGAAACTATGGAAGGTAAATTTATTATTTGACATAAATTACGTTAAATTGTCTTTTAGAAAAAACACACAATAAAAACACGTCAACAAGCCAGAGCCGTCGGTAGGCCTAGGGCCAAAGCCTGGCCTGGGGCCGGGACTAGGGAAACACGTCAAGCCAGCCCTAGGCCTAGGTAGGTAGCCACAGGGTTGAAAAAGAAAAGTAGGAACAGATTTTCTAGCAAAGGGAGCACAAAGGCGCACTGGGAGTTGAGGGTCTAATGCTCATTCCCTCGGGGGAAAAAAATATGTTTTCTGCAATAGGCCTAGTTTGTTGTTGGTGTTATTTGACGTCAGGTTTTTTGGTTTTGTGACATGGTTCTATCTAAATACGGATCCTAGCTAGGCCTAGTTCTACAGTTATCCTGTGCTGTAGGCCTTGCCTAAGTGTGTATTGAACTGCGAGGCATTTAATGACAAATACTCCTTTTCATAGTTTTAAATCAAGAACAAACCTGGGAATATCATGATAGATGAGGCAAATGTGCCTTGTCTGTCTTATGCTAGCGGCCCTGTATTTGCCCTGGTACTGGCACATAGGCCTAATCTAATTATTTTTACTAGGCTTAGTGATTCTTAGGCATGACGTTTTCGTATTTTCCTTGAGAAGTTGCTGGCTATAATATTACAGTTAAGATTTCTAAGTCTGCTTTCAGTGTCGGAACAGGTCACAATGTCATTCACCATTTTTGATTGTGCTGACTATTTTTGTATTGCCTGTATGACTGCAGCTTATTTGTGGATTCTATATATTAATTGTTTAGTAACTTTTCTTTAATTAATATTTTTTGGTTGATGCCATTCATTGATAAATATATGTTTACTTTTAGTTACCAATGACCTGAGGGAAGAAAGTTCAACAGCATTTAGGACCGTTCTTCTGTAAAGGCACCCTGTATGCATAATTAAATACGGTAAGTCCAGGCTTTATCTTATTATTATTATTATTATTATTATTATTATTATTATTATTATTATTATTATTATTATTATACAATATTACGTCATTGTTTGTTGATTATTAAAATGGTGGGCTATCACTGTATCAGCATGATATGCTAACCTTGTATGTACTGTGTGCGTATGTATATCATTCCATAATGATCACTTCAAACAGTTTAATTACCTATAATATTTTCATTTATTATTTTCATTATATTAACTAATACATTGATTTAGAATTGGAATTAATTGTTTTAAGGATGTCAAGTATCACGGCTTCAGACAAGTTATTAGAAAGTGTTAAATTATCATGATAATTTATACTTACCTTATATTATTTTTTCATAAATATTTAACATAGGCCTACACATGTTATTTTTAATATAAATGTAATTATTCTAATCTGTTGAATTTGTTTATATGACTAATATTCATTAGTCAAATAATATATTAACAAGGGTGATCATGATAATTTATACTTACCTTATATTATTTTTTCATAAATATTTAACATAGGCCTACACATGTTATTTTTAATATAAATGTAATTATTCTAATCTGAATTTGTTTATAGGACTAATATTCAGCAGTCAAATAATATATTAACAAGGGTGATCATACGTTTGTAATTAAATCTATTGAGTTGGTGTTACCTTGGGACTATTAAAAGTATGATTTTATAGCTGTTATATAGCAAATGTTTTACTATGAGATACTCAAAAGAATATTGGTTAAGTCAAGTTTAACAGTAATGAAAAATCACTTCACTTCAGAAAACAATACTAAAACTCATCCTACATGTAGAATATTAATTATAAAAAGCAAAAAAGGCCGACTGTAGACACATTTTTGTGTTCACTTTTTACAGAAACTTAAAGAAGTTTGTAATGAAGAAGATGTAGTTGCCAGAAGAGATGACAACGATGAGGACGACAGCAATATTATGTGAATGCGTTTGATTAGTAGCACATCCTCTTTATTGGTTCTGATACAACATTCTACTTCGCAAATGGTTCCATTGTGACAGAACAGCTATGAATTTCCTCTGTCAAGGCTTGATTCAGAGAGAGTGTAGCCATTTGCTTTTCTCAATATCCAAGATTTTTAAGTGTGCACTATGGAGTTTTGTACACTAGGCCCCTTGTTTATTTTTGATATTTCTTTGACATTTTAAAAATCAATTGAACTTGCCAAATACTGACTGAAATAAC